TATCGAAGACTGAACTTCTCAGAGGACTAGTGAAGTATGGAGGAGGGAATGTGAGGCACAAGGCCTCGATAAGCCCTACTGGGCCCCTATTTGCAACAGCGTCGGCCGCCCTAAGTGAAGGCAGGATCGACAGACCCCAAGAGGCCTATTTTGGACTACTACTCAACTGGGGAAATTCAGGCAGTTGCGCAGCGCCAGTCGGTTGGAAGCACCCAGGCCCAGGCTGCCTTTCATTGCATGTAACTGAGGCAAGGCCTGGGCCGGATACACAAAGTGGACCGAACAAAGGCTGAGGGCAGTTGGGTGCTGGTAACCGCCTCAGGCCCTGGGCCTGTTTCCTTCGGTCTGAGGCTCAGCCTCCCTGGGCCTACCGAAAGCTTCTGGGCCGGGGCCCAGCACCGCAGCACAACACGCTGCAGCAGGCCACTTCGATATAGGGAAGGGCCTGCCCACGCATTGGAATTGGGGGGCCACTGGCTGCTTTGTGCGCAAGCGCTGCTGCGCTATCGCCTGCCAGGCTCATGCGCTCACGGGCGAGCTGGAAGGAGCAAGCAGCCATAGCCGAGCTGCACTGCTGTATGTTGGATGGGGTGCATGGTGGTCCTTGGGTGCAAGTGGCATCTGTGGAGCTGTTGATGCCATCAGCAGCATTGTAGAGTAGGCTAGATAGGATCTGCCATCTGTAGTCTGGGCGCCGAGTGCCAGATAGGACATCAACATTGCTTCTTCATTGATGATGATGATGAGACTATTCCAGCATTGTCAATTATGAGCTTTTGGTGTGCTCTTATTGGTGAAACTCGTGATGCAATTCTGCTTTTGGTTCGAGGTCACGACTATCCGGTCTCATGTGTATGATGCTGTTTGATTGCTGAAGTTCGCTATTGCTCATCTTCCTTGCACATGCGGCGCATTCAGTTTCACGGCCCCAACGTACACGCGCCGCACCATGCACAGTGCATGATGCGCGCACGCTAGGTGCAGCACACCTAGAAAATTAAGGGTCGGCAAAAAAAAAAAAAG